GCTGGAGGTACCATCAACCTCTTAATGCACTTTCCTGATTACTCAGTACCTATACCAGCCTCAGGTAATAGAGGAGGCTTAGAGGGGTCATGTGACTTGCCCAAGATCACATGGCCAGTAAGAGGCAGAGTCAGGATTAATTTAGATCTGCCTGATTTTCCAGCCCAGAGTCTTCTCTATTCCATGGTTGTGGAGCTGGTGGAAGGGAGTGGTGGGTGGTGTGGATGTGTGGGGGTAAAAGTTTAGAAAAGATACTTTTGTGTGTGCTGAAGCCCAAACCACTGAGTGTGCTTTATCTTTATTACCCCCACACCAGCTTCCTACCGGGAGAACTGGAGTCCGTCTTCTACCCATCCTCCTTCCTCTCTTTTCTCCACATTCTGGTCCTCATCAATTTCCTGAATCATCACTCACCCTTGTTCATAACCTTGAACCAAACAGCACCCACCCCCATTGTCTTTCTTGGATCCATGAAGGATATAGTCACTAGGACCCAGCACCTGTTATCTCCCATGGGTTCTGGGCTTCTGGAAAAGGGGACTTCTGAGGCACACCTGGCTTCCTCTCCTTTCTTCAGGCTCAAACCCTTACCACGATCCTTTCCATGCTGTTCACCTCATGAGGCAAAGTCCAGTTCGGGCCTCTTTTTGCATTTAAGTTATACCTTTGAAATGTCAGAATAATCTTTTCCAGACCCCCCGGCACAGTCCCCACAGCAGAACATAAGGCCACAGAACCCCTATGTATCTTGTTCCTCCAATACCATCTATGTGCTGTGTTATTAACTACGCTGTGCCCACCAATGTAAAAGAAGTGTGTGTCTCTTTGATTTATTTTTTTTCAGTCCCAGAGATGTCCCTGCTTTGCTTTCTCCTGCCCCCTTAATTTACCATCAATGGATCTTATGCAACCCTCTTTATGTCTCCTCTTTTTATTCTTATGTATAAAATAAGATGCAAAACTGCCACTCTGCAGAGTTTTTTCTCAATCTGTTGAGATTTTGCTTCCTGTCAGTTTGGCTCAGCTAGACTCATAAAAATTCTCTACAGGTTTGGACATTCCTTATGTTGACACTACTAAGAATCTCTTTCATTGTCCCAAGTCCAGAATCCACCAAGGTTTGGGCAGATCTCTGGAGAGACAGTCCCCCAGTGAAGAGGCACAACGATGTGTGGCTCCTAGCATGAGCTCTTCTTCCTCACTGTGGTTTTATCCTGGGATTCCTGAGGCTACCACCAAGCCTTGCCCCCAGAGCCACTGCTCCCTATTTCTTTTTTACCTAAAAATGGACAAACAGGTCGCATAGGTCCAGCTGAGTCAGGCTGACCATTTCAAAAGATCTTAGGGAAAAACAAAAAGGAAATCATTATAGAAACTACAAACAGCATAACAGTCATTAAGTCCAAATTTCAGGTCTCAGGTTCTGAGAATAACATTAAAACCAGTGAGAAGCTCACCAAGTTCCACATTCCTTGATCCCAAGTAAACTCCATGCCTTGCATAACTACCGGGCCCCCAGCCTGTCCCTTCCTTCCAGTCCAACCAGCCTCTGGCCATGTGATCTCCCACACCAACTCAGGCCAGTTTGTCATCAAAGTCTATCTTCTACCTTTCACAAGTAAACCCCAACTTTCCCAAAATGAGAATTTACTTTCTGGGTTTACCCCTAGACTCACTAAGGTTTCTCCCCTTAACACCCGCCCCCACCACTGTCCTGGGGAGTGAAGCATCTTTAATTGACCATGAATGAACTTTGAGGCTTTTGGCATCACTCACCAAAAGAGTCTTCACCAAATGAGACCTTGCCTCACAACACACATCTGGACTAATGAACGAAGGGTCCAAAAATTCATAGTATGTATAACAATGCCTTCTTCAGTGCCTTACAGAGTTAGCTTTGTGTTAGTCAGGAGGTAAGGACACATTCTCTCCAGCCAGCAGAAGGGAGCCATTTGCGAAGCAATGTGCAAATAAGAAATACTACGGGCCGCTTTTAAATTAGCAACTGCAATCACGGAACAAAGATCCACTTGAGATTCTCATCCTTTGTCATCAACCCATGTCGGGGAAAGAACAGGATTGACTCCCATTCAGGTGACGAGTCCATGGAATAGTTTCCCATGAATTTGGTCAACTAAAGTCGCAGTTGCGAGGACGTAGCAACCAAGGGACTGTACATACCACGTTGCAACTGGTAGAAGCCCATTTATATTAGCAAGGAAAGTCAGACAATTCAAAAGGAGGGTGGAGATGAAAGTTGGGCGGCGCGTTCGCGTTCTCTGAGGCATGACTCGTTCGGGCCACCGTCGTTGCCCTGGGATACCAGGAGACGCCTCGCCCTGTGCGTCCTGTATCTATGGATACGACGCCGGGCGGCGGTGTGAGTTTTGAGCGTTGATCCCAGGGACCCAGGGACCCAGGGACCAGGAGCGACGCGAGTGACCGAGGAAGGTACCTGCCCCGGGAGACTGCCTCCCCCGGGAAGTGGCCAGGGGTCCCCTGCTTGTCCTTCAGAGAGTCCCGTGGGATTGAGACTTGAGCGAGATCGATCAGACTGGGGGTCCCGAAGAGAAAGGAGGAACAGCCCTAAGTAAATTTTGTTCCTTTCTTTTACCTACTCCTTCCTCCCTCAACTCTACAGAACGACCTGCCGCTTTTTCCACTGTTCATCTTAGGAATTCTTAGGTTGGAAATTAGATAATTAAGCAAACTGATAAGATATTTTTTAAAGTCCTCCCGCCCGGCCGGGCGTGGCTCAGCGGTTGAGCATCGACCTAGGATCCAGGCGTTGGGGGTTCGATTCCCGGTCAGAACACATGCCCAGGTTGCGGGCTTGATCAATGACTCTCCTATCTCTCTCCTTTCCTCCCTCTAAAATCAATAAAGATGTATTAAAAATAATAGTAATAAAGTACTTGAGATTAGAAAGCTGGGTTAGAAAACACCACCACCTTGCCCAGTGTGTTCACAGTGATTGCAGATGTGCCTTTTGGAAGAGTAGTGCAGGCTAGTGTGGAGGTTATGGTTGATAATTATAGTAACAGTTTTATCTAGGGCTTTTTCAAATCCTGTTTCATTTGAGTTTTGCATCAACTTTGTGAAACAGTCAGCACAACCCTCACTTTACAGGTGAGGAGACAGAGGCTCGGGGATTTGGAGAAACTTGCCCATCTCAAATTAATCTAAGCAGATGCTGGAACCCGGCTTTCCCTGCTCCAGGACCAGTGCACACTCCCCTAAGCCCTAAGCCCTGGCCTGGCCTGCTTTCTACCCCATCCTCTCTCATCTCTTCTACACACTTGCTGCGATGTTTCGTGTGTCGACTGGAGACTTCTCCAGAGACCTGAGGCAGGGGCTGTCTGTAGAAACCCCCAAAGTCACAGAGATTAAAAGAGTCAGGGTAGAACTACAAAGCCATCCAGTAGTAGAAAAGTAATGGGACCTCTTCTCTGTCTCCTCAGCTTGCATTTCTTTGATTCCATTTGAATGTACATTTCACAATTGGAGGTAGGGGCCTTGCCTTTCTTGTCCTGTGCCTAACAGGCATGCAGTAAATGCTTTGTGAGAGAATGAATGAATGAATCTAGGATAATCTCCTCCAGAGGGTTTGCAGAAGTTGCCAATTAGGAAAAACTGAATGAACAGATTTTTTTCCTCTGGATGAATGGTTGGGAGGGGATGGGAAAGTGTCTGATGGAAGTGTGTAAATTTTTAAAGGTTGACCATAAAATTGTTTACGAAAGCATAATACGTTATAATAAGGAACTGATCCCCAAACCTGAAGAGAGATAATTTTAGGCCAAATAAAAGGCAATTCACATCTAATCATAAACTGTTTTAAGAATTAAAGTCCAGCCCAGCTGGGTGTGGCTCAGCGGTTGAGCATCGACCTAGGATCCAAGCAGTCAGGGTTCGATTCCCTCTCAGGGCACATGCCCGGATTGCGGGCTGCAGCTGATCAATGACTCTCTCATTATTGATGTTTCTCTCTCTCCCTCTCCTTTCTTCCCTCTGAAATCAATAAAGATATATTTTTTAAAAAAAAGAATTAAAGTCCATGTGAAGGCCTTACAACGCTGCCTGACACATGCTAAGTTCTCAGTAAATGTCAATATAAGTTTTTATTAATTTTGATATTGCCATTCAAAGAGGTGGGGAAGGATACTGAGTTGTCTGCAAAATATGCATATGTTCATAAAAGGTATTATGTCGATGCTGTCCAATATGATAGCCACACCTGGGTGTGAGTGCTGAAGGAAGTCTGCTAAAAAAGAGGGGATTTGAGGAGATGGAGCCACAGCCAGTTTGGGACACTTCTGTGTTCCCCTAGAGCAGGGCCAAGCATCCTTTTGAGCATTTGGTGAAAGCTGTGGACGCTCTCCCTGGAAAAGGTCACATGCCCATACATATAATACTTTGCATATAATTTGCCTATAACATTTGCATATGATTTTCAGCTGCAGCCCATCCACAGAGCCCTCTGCTCTAATGGTTGATCCGTTTGTCTTCAGCAGGAGTCATTGCTTTCAGGAGTGCTTGCTTGCTTAAAGCTGGGCTGCAGGCTGCCCACCGATAGAGGAGACGCAGGCAGCTGAGCGCCCTCAGGCCTCACGGGCCTCTTCGCTTCTTATTCCTCCCACAGGAAGCAGGCCACACTCCCAGGAAAGAGCGGAGAGTAAAAGCCAGGAAAGGTAATGCACCTGCTGTAGCAACTCCGCGTGTGGCCATGGAGGGCGGGGTCCTTTGCTGAATGGTGAGTTTCTAGGCTCTCGGACGAGCTCCTGGATCTCGTTCGGGCTCGTTCCTTGCGGTGCCACCTCACCTGTTGCCAGGGCTGGGAGCAGGCTCTCCTGCACCATGATGATGGCTGTGGCCAGCCTACTCCACCAGCCTCTCTCTTTCATGTCCCTCCTGTCTCTCCTCTGGTCTCTTACAAGCTCCAAACTGGCAGGAACATCTTGCTTATACTTAAGAGTGCTCCCCTTATACTTGTATCCCAGGGCTCATCCAGGCAGCCCCAAGCCCCATCACAAGGACGAGGGACAGCCGGGACTGCATCATGACGTCCGCGTCATGCCTGAGTACCAGCCTGGTGGCCATTCCCGCTACCGCTGAGAGCAGTGCTGCCGTGAGCGTCTGCACCAGCAGCAGCACCAACGCCCGCGTGAGCTCGCACCAAGGACAGGTGGGGCAGGGGGCAGCG